TGTTGTTTGGCGGGTCCGGGCTGGGGATTCGAACCCGCCACCTTAGGTGTACATGGCTGGCGCCTTAGCCGGTTGAGCTATAGGCGCCGAGCCAAAACTGCGTATTTCAAAATCCAAACTAGTGGCCAGATTAAGCACTCCCAGGAAATAAACATTCCCTACTTATTAATTCACTTATTCAATAAATAATTACTGAATATCATCTATATGCCCAGCATAATTCTAGTTACCAGGAATAAAATAATAGAACAGGCTCGGCACCTGTGGCTCAAGTGGCTAAGGTGCCAGCCACGTAAACCCAAGGTGGCGGGTTCAAATCCAGCCTGGGCCTGCCAAACAACAATGACAGCTGCAACCAAAAAATAGCCAGGCGTTGTGGTGGGCGCCTGTGTTCCCAGCTACTTGGGAGGCTGAGGCAGGAGACTTGCTTGAGCCCAGGAGTTGGAGGTTGCTGTGAGCTGTGATGCCATAGCACTCTACCCAGAGGGACAGCTTGAGGTTCCTGTCTCAAAAAAATTAAAAAATTAAAAAAAAGAACAGTCAAGGTCCCTGCTCTCATGAAACTTACACTCGTAGAGGAGTTAAGAGTCAATAAACAGTAACTAATAATGAATGCAATATACAGAGATGTGGTAGAAAATGGGGTGGAGATGAAAAGCTACTTTGGAATAAGTCTTCTGAGAGAGGCTCTCAGAGGTGACCTTTGAGCTGAGATTTGAATGCTAAGAAGAAACCAGCCATGTGAAGATCCAATGGAGGGTATCATTACCCATCCATGCCCTTCTTCCCTCATGGAGAGAGAAGACTGACTTGCTAAAACCTTAAAGTGAAAAAAAGACTTTTATGTTAAAGAAACAGCACCACCACCAGTGTGCATGGAGTGGAGTGAAAGAGGTAAAGGGCAGGGAGAGATGAAGTTAGAAAGGTAGCCAGGAAATAGATCATATTGGGACTTGTAGGCCAGAGTAGTTTGGATTTTAAGCGTCACAGGAAACCATGGGGAAAGGGGGAGGGCTAGAGAGGGCAGTAATACCACCTGGTGTGTATTTTAAGACCATTTTAGCTGCAGTATGGAAACTAGAATGTTAGGGATCAAGTGGAAGAAACGGAGTAAAAAGCTATTGTAGAAGTCCAGATAAGGAGTCACTTGTAGTCTGCACTAGGCCTAAAGTGTGGGGGTGTAAGGTGGAAAATGACTAGATTCATGTTGTTTTGGAGGTAGACTGGACAGGCCAAGACAAAAGAATTGGATGTAGAGAAAAGGAAAGAAAAACCAAGGCCGACTTCTAGGTTTGGGGCTTCAAACAGGAAAAACTAAGGCAATGGTTGTAATGACACTTAATCCCACCTCCCTAGAACAGACGAAACCAGAGCAGAGTATGTACAACCCAGCAAGAGTCCGGATTCCGATTGTTTACTAGGGTTCTACGAAGGGCGAGAGAAGCAGCTTCTGACCTCCACCCAGTTAAACCGTCCCAGCACTTTCCAAGGATCCCTTTCAAAGCCTGCCCCCGGGGCGGCGCCTGTGGCTCAAGGAGTAGGGCGCCGGCCCCATATACCGGAGAAGCCTGCCCCAGAGAAAACTGACCACAGAAAACCCGACCTCAACCGCACTTTAAAGGATAGTCCCATTCTCCGAAGCTAAGAGAGGCCCTTCACTCTTGGGGGCCACTTCGCGCGGTGTTTTTTTTTTTTTTTAAACAAACAAACAAACAAAAACACCTCACCGCGTCCAACCTCTGAAGTCCAAATGCCGCCTCCGGTATTCAAAGGAGCAGACTCCACCCAACGCATGCGCTTCCGCCAAGATCCAGGCGGCAACTGGGCGGAGCGGCACACTGTGCAGAAACCTGATTGGTTAAAGTACAACTCTACGGCGGGAGGTAGCACGCGCGCCGTCACTGACGCAGGCTCAATAACGGAGAGCGGGTGCCCTGCCCAACCGATCCTTGGGGCGCGCAGCTTGTGAGCCGTTGCTGCTGGAGTCAGCTGATTGGCTGGCGTTCCCTCAGTTCTAATTATGTGTGCAATCGTCATTTTGCGTAAAAAACGGGACAACTAATGCCTTGGTTCTTGAGTTTAATATGATCAATTACAATGACTATTTTACCCAGATTGACCCTAAATGTCGGGATACAATAAAGGCGGCTTCTCCCGTGAAGAGACTTAAGTTAGATCTGTCATTTTCCCCAAGTTAGGCTAGGGAGCGGGAGGAAAGAAAGGTTCTTCCCTCTTACGGAGGACATGTACGAATACCTCCTGAGGTTTTCTAGAAATGTTTTCTAAGAGAGATGTTGTGGCGTGGTGCCTGTGGCTCAAGTGCCTTGAGGCTCTGTCTCAAAAAAAAGGAGAGAGATGTTGTGCCACCTCGCAAGTAGCTGGCTGTGAACTTATAAATGTTCCTAACCTTGAGGAATAAGTGCATTAAAGAAACTAGTTAAACAGCAACAGGGGCTTAGTCTGACGTCTAAGCTTAGTCTCTAACCGCTTAATAAAAATAAGAGTGAAAAGATACAAATTTGGCTCGGCGCCTGTGGCTCAGGTGGCTAAGGCGCCAGCCACATACACCTAAGGTGGCGGGTTCAAATCTAGCCAGGGCCCGCCAAACCACAATGACGGCTGCAACCAAAAAAATAGCCGGGCGTTGTAGCAGGCGCCTGTGGTCCCAGCTACTTGGGAGGCGGAGGCAGGAGACTCGCTTGAGCCCAGGAGTTGGAGGTTTCTGTGAGCTGTGAGGCCACAGCACTCTACCAAGGGGGACAGCTTGAGGCTCTGTCTCAAAAAAAAAAAAAAAAAAGATACAAATTTAACGATTCTCACTGACCTGTTAAAGTCAAATCATACCTATGAAGTTTAGGCAAGCTGTACAATCTTAAGAGATAATAAAAGTTTAAGTAGAAGCATTTGGGAAATGTTACAACAGAAATGATTGTTCTAACTCGTATGGTTTTCAGAGTAATTTCACAAACTCTTATTTAATCATGCATGAAAATTGAGACTTCAGTTTTTCCTATGATAGATACTCTTCTTTACTACAATGGAAAATTTCTCAAGTCATTTTTGATGCTTTTAATAATTTTCACAGACTCATGTAATTTGGAAGGGATTTTAAGGCTTCAATACCCTTCTTTTTGAAGATGAAACTGGAGACTTGAGTGATTCAGTATCTCACCTTATGTGACAAATCTGTGGCAATGCAACTTTGTCCCACGCTTTCAACACATATTTAGTGACAGTGGTTCACCTTTATTCAATGTATCTTCAATTTTCTCTGAAATCATTTTTCTAACTTCCTTTAGCATTACCTAATAAAGTAGAACTCCTCAAAACTGGAAATTGTATTGGGATCCTAATTTTGTGGCTTTCTGTCTTGTGTGCTAACATCATGAAAGTGTGGGGGAACTTAAATGAGTTTGGAAAGTTGGCAGCCTCATTAGTGTAAGTGATACTCCCCCCTCGTTCCTCTCCTCCTTCATCCAGATTCAGGAGAGCCTGACTCCTTTGATTTCTTTCCAGATTTTCAGTTTTTGCCCAGACAGTTTCCTCCAAATTTCAAAAATTTTTTATTTCGAAAGAATGAGAGAAATAAGACACAGTTATCAATTACCAAGAACAATGACACTGAAGAAAATACAATAACAAGTACTCTCCCCACACACAACCCCCCACCCCTTTCCCCATCCCTGGCACAATAATATTAAAACCATCAAAGCACATCTAACAAGGAGAAACACCAGTATGTAATGAAGAAAGCAAATTTTCATACTGCTCAATCCAACTAACCCATACCAAACGTCCTTCCCCCAGCTAAACTCCACCCACTGGAATGATAAAGAAGTGTACAGGAGACAATTCCAGGAGATGATTTGGAACTTTGCTTACACTAGCAGAGTTCAGTGAACAATCAATAGGCATAAGTGAATCTATTTGGCAAGGAAACACTAGATCCAGCTTGTCAAATTTCAGATGATTTCAGAGGACAGCTAGACTTTGAGATTCACAGACTTATAACAGGACTGATAACTGGTCCCTCAACCACAACAGTGGAGCAGCTGCCAAATCCTGGGTGGCTTCTGAGAATAGTGGAAGTAAGGCAGCTTTGGGCTTCAGAAAATCTGAAAAAGATGACAAGTTTACTATTTAGTTTCAAACTGTGAGTAAAGGAGCTTAGTAGGCGGGACTCCGACAAAAGCAAAGTGAAACTTCCTATTTTTTTCCCTTAAAGAAGTAAACTATCTGCTGACTGAATATACCCCTTGTTTGAATTAAACTCAATATGGAGTATTTAAAATTTAAACAACTCTTAGGGTAGAGGCTAATTCATTTTATATATAACTCAGCTTCTCAAGTTGACATAATTTTTTTTTTCCTAAAGTGGTGAGTTTTTTAGCTTAATCTGTTGAGGAATTCCCCCACTGTGGGAATAGGTCACTTGTTTCATACCAGAAGTAACAGGATTCTCTTTATAGGAGCTTTACTTTATTCTGTCTTTGCTGGAATCAACCTATAAAGAGAAGGATACTTGTGCAGGATTAGTTCAAGATCAGAGCTCTCTCCACACGTGAGTGAGTGCACACATGCGCGCACACACAGAGTAGTTAAATACATTTTCCCACATATAATCTCACAATCACATGCTTGCTGGAGTCCATCTCACAATTACACTTCAGTAGTAGCCATATACATGTACATGCAGCAAGATGTGCGAATTGCCCCAGAGTGATTAAAGGTGGTGCACAAATGTCAATGTGGGGAGGTCATTTTAGGGTATAGATGTACACAAGCCAATAGGGTCTTGCAGATTATATTTTTCCTTTCCCGGAGATAAATAAAACAAAAGAAAAACACACACTGACATCTTCCTGGGTGTCACGGAGGCAAGTGCCTGAAAGGTCCACTTTTGCACTTCTGCTTTCTTATGACACCTTCACTTTGCCCTGAGGGGCCTTCTCATATAAGGAAGGTTGCTCCTCAGCACTCACAGGCAAGGGCTTTTTCTCAGAAGACCGGTCATCAGGCTTGCGGGCAATCAGCAGGCGACAGGTGAGCAGGATTCCAAACACCAGAGCATGGGCATAGCGTTTGAGAGGATCACCGACCAGCTGGTGGAAAAAGAGCACAGCCAACACCAGCAAGAGTAGGAAGAAGTTGGCCACATCTTTGGGACGCCCAGGCACAAGGGTCATGACGATGCCACAGGCCACCTCAAGGGCACCAATGCTTTTTCGGAGGAGAATGGAATTGATCCCCATTTTCTTCAGCAGAGGGAGAGCTCGGACATAGCTTTTGTAAGCGCGTTTCTAGAGTGGGAAAATCATAAAGAAATCATTGCATTAACCATGATTTTAACATTCAAATGAAGTAAACACAAGCAGAGTCCTCCTTCCGTACTGTTCCCCTTACACACCAGCTAAGAGTGTCCGATTTTTCACTTCGTCCCCTAAATAATAGTTGTAATTAAGATAAGAAAAAAGGTTTGGCACCTGTACACAGTGGTTATGGCACCGGCCACATGCACTGAGGCTGGCAGGTTCTAACCCTTCCTGGGCCAGCTAACCAACAATAACAACTGCAACCAAAAAATAGCCGAGTATTGTGGCGGGTGCCTGTAATCGCAGCTACTTGAGAGGCTGAGGCAAGAAAATCGCTTAAGCCCAAAAGTTTGAGGTTACTGAGAGCTGTGACGCCACAGCACTCTACCCAAGGTGACATAGTGAGACTTTGTCTCAAAAAAAAAAAAAAAAGACAAGAAAAAAAATCAATCAGTCTTGGTGTCCAAAGCTCAGTGGTTAAAGGCACCAGCCACATGCACCTGGGGTGGCAGGTTCACACCCAGTCCGGGCCTGCTAAACAACAATGACAACTGCAACCAAAAAATAGCCAGGCATTTTGGTAGGCGCCTGTAGTCCTAGCTACTTGGGAGGCTGAGGCAAGAGAATCACTTAAGCCCAAGAGTTTGAGGTTGCTGTGAGCTGTGACACCATGGTACTCTATGGAGGGTGACATAGTGAGACTCTGTCTCAAAAAATAAAGATCAATCAAGCCGGGCACAGTGGCTCATGCCTATAATCCCACACTCTGTGAAGCCTACACGGGTGGACTTCTTGAGCTTAGGAATTAGATACCAGCCTGAGCAAGAGTGAGACCCCCATCTCCAATGACAAAGGAAAAACTAGCTAGGCTTTTGTGGAGGGTGCCTCTAGTCTCAGCTACTGATCTGATAGGATTGCTTAAGCCCAAGAGTTTGAGGTTGCTGTAAGCTATAACCACACAGCACTCTACCCAGGGTGACAGAGTAAAACTCTGTCTCAAATGAAAAAAAAAAAAAAAAAGAAGAAAAGAAAAGAAAAAAATCAATCTACTGGGATCCCTGCAAGTCAAACCATAGTAGTAGCACTGCTATGGTCTGAATGTTTGTGTCCCCCCAAAATCCGTATATTGAGATCCTAACTCCCAAGGTGATGGTATTAGTGGGTGGAGTCTTTGGGAGGTGATTAGGTCATGAGGGTGGAGCCTTCAAAATGGCATTAGTGCCTTTCTAAAACTGGCCCCAGAGAGGTACCTTGCCCCTTCTCCCATGTCAGGACACAGCTACAAGGTGCCATCTGTGAAACAGGCGGTAGGCCCTCGCTAGAAACTAAACTGCTGGTGCTTTGATTTTGGACTTCTCAGCTTCTAAAGCTGTGAGAAATAAATGTCTGTTGTTTATGATATTTTGTAATAACAGTCAGAATGGATGGAGGTAAGCACCAATGGTAGTAAGCCAGAGAATTTTGCTTTACAGTTTTAAAAGTTTCTGACTATAAATCATAAATAACATTAAGAATTTTTTGGCTCGGCGCCTATAGCTCAACCGGCTAAGGCGCCAGCCACGTACACCTAAGGTGGCGGGTTCGAATCCCCAG